CAACGATTTACATAGTTGAAGATGCTAATTTCAAATAACAGACTGTAGTGGTAATTTTTATACGATAGATGGAGTAGATGAAAGCATAGAGTTGATAGTTCCGTTAGAGTACGGCAGTGTGAAGATTGTATATAGATATTAGACAAGCGAGCTAGGACAACTTTTAAGGAAGGTACAAATCGGTTTTTTCATCTCTCTTTACCAAACTCCCCCTTTGGAGAGGGATGGTGAGGGGTGCCCCCCCCCCCCGCCACCACTGGCAAAAAGAGATGAAAACCGACCCGCTCAAGTACCAACTGTGTGTTTGAAACAGTTCTACCGATTTTTTACCGCACTTCAGTTGTTATTTAAAGGAAGGCATCCAGTCGGGGGAGTTTGGTAAAGAGAGATGAAAAAACCGATTTGTACCTTCCTTAAAAGTTGTCCTAGCTCGCTTGTCTAATATCTATATACAATCTTCACACTGCCGTACTCTAACGGAACTATCAACTCTATGCTTTCATCTACTCCATCTATCGTATAAAAATTACCACTACAGTCTGTTATTTGAAATTAGCATCTTTAACTATGAATTGGTAGTGTTTACAAGGTTTCCAGTCCAACTGCGTCTAAATATTTTCGGAACAGAAATTACCCAATCTTTGACCTTCAAATACCTTGGAGTCTGGTTTGATTTAAAATGCACTTGGGGTACCCACATAACGTATTTAAAACAAAAGTGTAAACAAAGGACCAACTTTCTACGATCGATTTCCGGGACATGGTGGGGTGCTCACCCGGAAGATCTCATTAAGGGGGTATTCCCAATCTTTTGCCTTTTTTCGGCCTGTTTCTCAATTAATTTTTTTTTCAAGGAAAATGAATAGTAATGCGCCTAACTCTTTGGGATTCTTGTTTATTGAACATTAAAGTTTACAAATAAATTTTTTTCGACATAAAAAAAGACATTATTGACGTCACAAAATGGCGGCAAACAGACCCCTGTTCGCCGCAAACGCCTGGACGGGCGAAGACTTTTCTCTGGAACGGCTTCATCTGAAACAGATTTCGTGATGAAATTATAATCTGCATAAGATTCTCTGGAGCTTCTCCCGTTGGCAGCAAAAAATCTTGCAAATTAACAAAATGGCGGCCATATGAAAAAAAACAGGCGATTTTTAGCCCGCTTTTTTGCAGCTTTAAGGTGCTTCAAACAATGTTAAATGTTAATATTTTTGGCTGAAAGTGGGAGAAGCTCCAAAGAATTTAATAAGGAACAAAATGCGCAAAGATTCAAGTCAATATCTCTTATAGTTTCTGAGAAAAATCTTCGCCCGATAAAAAAAATGTGGTTTCGAGAAAAACGCGTTTAAAGTTTTGACTTTAGTTAAAACCATTTGGGGGTTCTTACCATTAGTCAGCTATGGCTGGACACCGAATTCGCTGATCGGAAAACGGCTTGGGGGGATGAAAGTATATAGTCTAAAGTACAAAAAAACGTGAAAAAAAAAATTTGATTTTTTGAAAAAAAAGATCGGGAATACCCCCTTAAACTATATAAAACGACTATTTTTTCAGTTCTTGAGTATGGCTCTTTTTGCTGCCTCTCAGCAAGAAAAAGCCACCAAATCAAATTGGAACGTATTCAATATCGTTGTTTACGTATTGCCTTTGGCTGTATGCATTTAACACACAATATGAGCCTAGAGGTTCTAGCGGACGTAAAGCCCGTGCAGAACGGTTTCTGGGAGCCTCATTAAGAGTATTGATCAAATATAGTGTCATGATTGAAAACTTTGAAGCAGTGCTCGAATTGAGCACCCAGCCTAGAACCGTGCGAATCTACCTTAATTATATGTCATCGGATATTAGACTTCCGTGATATAACCCCCCTCGTGTACGCTTTACTAACTACAGTTCCCCCATTCACTATGATCTCTCCATGAAACAGGCTATTCAAGGAGTTCCAGATCAACTTCAACCTATTTCAATTCCCCGTACTATTGCTGAAAAGTACCAACAAGTCAATTGCAATAGAAGATTTTTCACTGATGGAGATCACGCATTGATGGATCCACTGGCTTCGGCGTCTTCAATGAATACTCAACCGCATTTCGGAAACTTCAGAAACCTTGTTCCGTTTATGTTGCTGAGCTAGCAGCAATCAACTTCGCATTGAGGATGATTTCTCACATGCCCACAGACCATTGATAAAGTAATTCTCAGATAGTCTCAGTTCGATTGCGGCTATTCGGTCGATGAAACAAGGCACTCATCTTATTTCCTTTCAAAGGTAAGGGAGCAGATGAGTTTGCTGGTCGAAAGATCATATATGATTACCTTTGTATGGGTCCCCTCACATTGCTCAATCCCAGGCAATGAGAAGGCAAATAACGGCGCCGGTGGTGTAGTGGTAAGCGTGATTACCTCTCACCCCAGCAGGCCTGGGTTCAATCCCAGTCGGCGCCGCCGGGATGTTCTGAGGCATAACATCTCTGATCACGCCTTCCTTCGGATGGGAAGTAAAGCCGTTGATCCCCGGTTCATGAGTTGATGGGTCGATAGGTAGGGTCCAGGTGTGGGAGCTGCCGTCCTGGCACGTCGGTAGCATTGGTGCTCAGCACGGAAAACAAGATCGACCGAAAAAACAAACCAAAGGAAAACAAAAATGAGAAGGCAAACTCTCTCGCAAAGGTGGGCGCACAACAAGCCGAGATTTATGATAGAAGAATTGCACATGATGAATTTTACCCATTAGTACATCAGAGTTCTCTTCTAAGTTGGCAAAACGATTCGACAAGTAATTCTCTAGGGCGGTGATTACTTTCCATTAATCCAAATGATTCTTCGAGAGCGTGGTTCAAAGGTCTGGATGTAAGTCGGGGATTCATTCGCGTGATGTCAAGACTTATGTCCAACCACTACTCGCTAGACGCACATCTATACAGAATAAACCTCGTTGACAGCAATATATGTAGGTGCAGAACCGGTTATGATGACATCGATCAGGCAGTTTGGAATTGTCCGGGTAATGACACCTTAGAGCACGACTATTGGATTCCCTAGTGGCCCGAGGTAGACAATCCTTCCGTGAAGTAAGAGATGTATTGGGAACCCATGATCTTCCTTACATGCATGCGATCTACGAATTCCTTTGTTTGTCTGATGTTAGAGTTTGATGTGACCATCTCCCCAACAAACAATTTGTGCTGATTAAGGGCTGAATAAGCTATGTTTTAGCTGAAGAAGCATATTTTTGCCTGTATAAGCTCTTATTCTGCTTCCAATGTTTGTTGGGTCCTCCTTTCCACACATTTTACAGCCATTGTGTCCCTGTCTTATTATCCACCTGTTTCTGTGATACTTGCCCCTGCCCAGACAGCATTTGATCAACCGTTCGAGAGTAGTATCTAAAGGAGGCTTCAGAAACGTGTTTCCTATCTAGCTCCTTCCAATTGAAATTGTTACCCATTAACCTCGAGGCCGCCACGAGTAATTGGTACCCAATACTAACCTAGATTACTGCTGTTTAAAATGTTTATTAAAAAAATGACGGATTTTTAGCTCCGCAAAGTGTCACACATGACTGAGCCTAGTAAATAAACGAACTAGTAAAAAAACTATGAAGTCTAAAGAAATTCTTGAGATTCTCAAATTTTATTGAAAATCCTGAATATTTTCCAAGCCTGGTAGGTTAGGTTTATTGAAAGCTCTAAAATGTTCCTCAGTCCATGAAGTTCGTGATATTTAATTTTTATAAATTCGACAACTGAGCTTTTTATGTTCACTATTAGGAATATTTATAACGCACTTTTTTATTTTCTAAAATTAAAATTAAACGATACTTATACAGAGAGATCTGAATATGAATCAGGATTGTGGTGGATATTCTCATCCGCATCCGTTATCATCCGAACATCCGCATGAAAATGTACATCCGCATCCACATTGTGCCATGCAGATGTCTTGCGGATGTTTGAAAAATATTGTAGTTTGGATCGGAAAGAATATATCAATAGTTTTTTTTTTGGAAATGTGTCACATAATGCAATTTGTTTTGCTGATCAATTTCCATTCGTGAGCTGTTGCTTATCTTTTTACTCTGCCGAAAAGTCTCAAGCAACTGTTAATCTGTGCGTGAAGAGACGGTACTGTGTTTCCATGGGTTTGTACTTAGAGATTTGTAAATATATCAATGAATTGTCATACGAACAAAAATTTCTTTTACTTTGCCTTTCATTGCTCAGCTAACGCAATTGAATTTGTTAAGAAATAGCTGATTTTTAGCCTTTAAATATATTTATTGATAGGGTTTTGATTATTGATTTATTTTGTGTGATCTGTGAGCGTTTCAGCTATGCAGTTAGTCTGGCGAGTTCAAATTGAAGTTTCTGAAACTGAAACTGCCAACATGTTGTTTAAAGTTATCATTTAAGCTCGTCAGTCAATATAAATCGAAACTCTCGTAGGAAATCATATATTTTAACGACACTATTTATTTTATTATGAATTTGAAAATCCGTATCCGCATCTGCAGATGTCCCAAAAATCACATCCGTAACAACCCTGAATGAATCATGAAAAATAATAAGGTCAAATGCGAGAAAGAATCTGGGATAATGCTTAAAAAGATTCAATCGAGGCAAGTATAAGTTTCAGTAGGAAGATGATGGATCATCAACCGTGGGTAATCGAGAGTTATGCTATGAAAATGCTAATATAGAAAAAAAACATGGCATGAAGTTTTTTTCAAATGCAAGTGGTGTATAGGCAGCAAATCACTTTCACATCTCGCATGGTTTAAAATATATGTGTACACAATATTGAACTTATCCCGAACATGCCTTTTAATATTACCGAAAGGCCTTATATGAAACCTCCTATACAATTACTATCAATTTTATCTAAAATCACCTTAATTAATTAGAAACTCGTTGCCAAAGGTCACTAATTGCTCATCGTTTCTAATCATGACCCTTTTTTCTCTCTCTCTCTCCCCTCGACTTCTTGCCTACTCACAGATCAAAGTGCAACTTCACTGCATCCGCCACAAATAGCATCATCACCATCACCAGCAGCCAGCGGCGGAAAAACGACGACCGCTTTCCCGCGCAATGGGATGCGACTGTGAATCATGCATAGCGAAATCGCTACTATCAGTGTTCAATTTTGTGTTCTTCGTAAGTATAGTAGAAACCCTTTTACCCGAGATCTAACCTTTCGATGCGTGATACTGACCTAAAAACAAACAGACAAAGAACCACCTCGACTTAGAACTCTTCCGTGCACAAGGTTTGTGGTGATGAGTAATTTTCCTAAATCTTGCACCTTCTAGGTTCTCGGATCGATTGTTCTAGGTGTGGGAATATGGCTCGTGGCAGACAAATCATCGTTCATAGCGCTATTGAAAATGGTTGAAAGTGATCAGCTTGAGGTAAGTAGTTTGATATCATCACTATTTGGAAGCACGATTGCAACTACCGTCGTTTGGGGTTAGTTTGATGAAGCAATGCAAACATATGTGAGAATTACGGTAAAATGAATATACAGTCAAGCACAGTGGGTAGTCAACCTAAACCAATCGACAATTGGCCCTAAGTACCAACGTGAATCGCCACTCCAGTAGGTAGGATGACGACAGCCACAACTACGATGCGCTGGCTGGCGGGTGCGATTCAAACTGAATCCGATGCGATTAATTAAGATTCAATGCATCGGCACATAACAGCGTGGAACGAGATTCACCCATCCAATAACTACAATAAGTTACTTGTGGATGTGCGGGGGTGGTCGGTAGATCCATATTTGTTTCAGCAATGTACACACATATCAATTGCTTTTGTTTGAATTATTACGTACGAATAATTGCTGCACCCTTTCGCGATGGGACGTTGCGTTAGCATCTCAGGTTAATGGAGGTTCTAACGCCTTCTAGTCACAAGTAATCGACATCTGCCTTTGCATTTGCATTACAATTAGCCTCACGTGAGGTTTGTCGATTGAATGGGTTCGATTTCTTTAGCTCGATCCGATCACACTAACGCTCAAGGAATGTAACCTGAAAATCCGAGATGTGCTAATTTCTTAAAAGTGAGACTATATGTCTTGAATACTTCTGAAAATGATGTTTACATCCAAATGACATATACATGCAGGCAGGGATGGATCGCATTATTCATTACTTTTTAATACAGGACTTGAGGGAAATTGCTTGGTTTAACGACTTTTTCAGTCTTAACGACTACGATGTAATCTGCCCGGTCATGGGTTGTGGCCTTTTTCGTGAGAAAATCTGTATTTTAAATAGTTAGTTAGTTGTTTTACATAGTTGTTGTTCGATTGCTTTACATTGTCCGTCGTTATCTTCAATAATTGACTTATAACATAGCTCACCATTTTTAAAATTATCGTTGTCCTCAGTGGTAATGAAAATTGTGACCAAGTAGTTCCTTCCCAAAAATATCATAAAATGTAAAGAAACCAAAATATGTAAAATCGACCTCAACAACGACTAAACTATTGACGATAACAACAGACAATGTAAGGCAATCAAATAACAATTATGTAAATCAACTATTTAACTATGTACAATCTTAGCCAGGGGTTGAAACGGTTGACGTTTTTACTAACGGGTGATAACTAAAAAATGGGAACAGCATCAACACTCTCATACCAAACCACAAATGTCCACTAAAAAGAGACAGCTTATGGAAATCAATACTCTCTCTCTCCACAAAACTATAGAATTTTTTATTTTGTTTTTACATCCTCATTTGTGTTCAAAATGGCATCTAATAAGAAGCACTTCGTGAGTACATTATGCAGAAAACTCACGAAAATTGTGGAAAAAGGTTTACGGTATATCATTTCAAATCAGAGAACATACCAATTACTACTGTTCATCGTGTTCTAGCATCCTTGATAACAGTTCGGAGGAGGGGTAGTGGAAAACCAGCCAAAATAATGAACAAAACAGAACTTCGATCGCTACACAATAAGTTCAACAACAAAGATTCGATAAGTCAGTGGGACGCCACGAAAAAGTCCACATCTGTAAAACGTTGAAAATGATAGTAATAGTTTGTCAAAAGAAATCAAGAGCTCCAGAATACACCGATCAACAAATTTCGAACGTGAAAACCCAATGCCGTTGGATGACAAGAAATTACTCAGGAAAATGTCTCGTTTTGGGTGATTCCCTCTATCAAAAGCTCACATTCCTGGAAATGATCGATATTATTCAGATAATAGTTGTACAAAATCTCCAGGTATAAGATTCAAGTTCTAACACAATTTTGAACAGAAAGTGATTCTGTATATCGCCATATCGGAGAGAGGAATTTCTAAGCCATGGTTCAAGCCTAAAGGTTTGGCTATCAACCAAGAAGTGTACCAAAATCCATGTTTGAAGAAGATATTGAGTCCATTTCTTCAAAAATATAACTACGTGTTTTTGGCCGGATAAAGGATGATCACATTATGCTAAGAAAACACTAACCTTCTATGAAAATCAAAATATCCCGTATGTATGAAAAACCGCAATACAACAAACTTGTATCTGGAAGACTTTTTTGGAAATATGAGTTCGTTGGTAAATAAAAGCAATTGTAATTAGCTGATAAACCGAATCAAAGGTTGCATTCGTAAAACCGTTTTATATGCTGTACAACACTCATGTTCTCACATCATGACAAAGCTATGTTAAACAGCTGATAACGGACCTTATTCAAATGGAGCTTCATTTGAAATAAATCATTTTTTTTTTTCTCAAACATGTTTTTTTTTTATGAGCTCAAATGAAAATTCTCATTTTTTAGTTATCACCCGTAACACTCGCTTCGTTGTCGTGCGCGACCTAGGCGAGTAAGAGAGGTGCCACAGTCCGAAGAAGTGTTAGTTTGTTTACTTAAATGAACCGCCCATTTTGTTATGGCAAGTTTTGCTATAAGAAATGCTCCTCGTGTTTATTAGCGAAATTCACATCAAAGATTGATTAATTGCGTAGGAAATCAGTTTGGCGCGGCATTTGTGACCAGCATACACCTTCCGGTCGTATGAAATAGGCCAAAAACTGTCCAAATCCGTAGATAAAAATTTTGTTTTGAATTTCTGTAAAGCACAATAGTGAACTTTTCGTGAACATTAACGGCAAAGAACTCACCAACACTGGGAGACCGTGAGTTCCTGCCCACCTGTCTTAAAAACATCTCGGTGCGCGACTGTCTGTTTGTGATCTACCGTCGTCTCTCTCGCACAACACAAACGGTAGAACAACAATCGAGCAAAAATAAAATTATCAAATAACTTTGATATGATTTCGTATTTTAAAAATTCACACAAGCACAACATTTTAGCATCCATCGCTTATTATGACAAAAACTAAAATACATAAAAACGTGACGGTCTTCGGTGACAGTGTCGTATGACAGAAACTTGCATCTTCTTCTTCTTCTTCTTCTTCTTCTTCTTCTTCTTCTTCTTCTTCTTCTTCTTCTTCTTCTTCTTCTTCTTCTTCTTCCTCGCACTTCAAGCTGAGACCTGTGCGCCGATCAAAAAAAATTCGGCGGCGGCGTGATATGTTATTTTCTGCCGGCGGCGGCGGCGTGGCGGCGTCACGCCGTTTGCTTTCGGCGGCGGCGGCGTGGCGGCGTGGGTCGGCGTGAGTTTATTTTTAATTATTTAGAAAAAAAAACTTTTCAAGCCAAAAATCACACATGCGCAAAAAATGATACCCACATTTGAGTTCAGATTACTCAAAATCGTTAAAACTTAGGTCACTCATAGTGTGAATAAATTTTGCGACTCTTTCCCGTGGAAAACTTCTTGAATATGGGGAAAATTTAAGAAAATTGTACACAGATTAGAAGTTCACTAGTGGACAGACTAAAACCATATTCAGTTTTCCTCATATCCGCGAAGTTTTCCTCGGAAAAGCGTTGAATAATTTACTCATTCTATGAGTCACCAACGTTTTCGCGAATTTGGGTAACCGATACTCAAATATGAGTAACTCGTACTTAATTTTGAGTCGTTCTCAATTTTGAGACATTCTCAAAGTATGTCAAGTGCCTATTAAAATTTCAGGGGGTGAAGTCGTATGGCAAAGTGTTACAATCCTTTTATTAAGAATAAGAAATGTACGTTATGTAGAGGTGGATTGTATTGAAAAGCAATCTGTTGCATTACGTAACAATTTAATGGGCCCTAGGATTTTTTTCATTTATTGAGCATTACACGTTATGAATATGTTGATAGCGATAAATGATGTGCTTTTATTAATCTGATACATATTTGAATGTACGCGAATTGTAGTCATATAACTTTTTGTTTATGTATTTGAAGATGATGTTTTTCGGATATACGTAGAATTCCGCACAACTTGAACCAGTAAGAGATTAAAAAAAAAGTTCTAATTTCAGCCTATTGTTCATAATAGTCCCTTATACACCTTTATGCAAATCCGCTCCTCGTCAGTAAGCCAGTGTTTATTGCAAAACTCTATTTTTCAAATGCTGTAATTGTCATGAATTAAGATTGTTTTATCCACATTTTTAGGGTAGATGCCTGACCGACGTGCATATACGGTCGGCCCAGCTATGTTAAAAAACTCGTTCACATGGCGGGCACACAAAATACCTTGCAAACCAAGGCTGCCAAGCTTTCTAATTTTCCAAAAGCCGAGGATATCTCCATCTGGAGTCATTTTTTTTTTTCACACGGTCTTTTTACGCGGATTTCGGAAATTACGAGGTTTTTTATGCGGATTTCGGAATTTACGCGGAATTTACCTTCAATTCAGTTGCTCCTTCATCCCCAGCTTCATATATGTGATGATAAGCGAGTCCTCATTTTTTTCACTGATAAAAGCTTCAATCTCAGATAGCAAGAGCATGGCAATGTTAACTGTTGCATTCTTTTCAACAGACAACAGGGTTACTATAATCTTTTAACCAAAACGGAATTTTACTACAATATGTTCACCACCACCATGCCATCATGTCTCAGAAACAGACTAGAGTAAAAAAACATTGGAACCAAATTGAAACTTTTCACACTAGACGTGATCGACTTTTAACTGCACACTTAGTTTTTTCTACCGAGCTCGGCTGTGCAAATCTCCGCAACAAAAGTTTTACTGAGATCTCAGCAAACCTATCATTTGTTTGCTGAGATTCAGCTAAGCATTATCTGAGACTCAGCAATCAAATGTCACTTTTGCTGAGATCTCAGTGAAACTTTTTTTGCCGAGCTCGGTAGAAAAAACTAAATGTGTGGCACGTTTTTAACTTGTCCGCTGAGACAATTTTTCAGTTAAAGTACATTTTCTGAAAAAATGATTTCAAAATGAATTTCAAAATGTCAAGATTAACTGGAAGAACACTGATTCTTTTTAAATGCATTTATACTAGTGAATTCCGTTCGCTAGGTGCAAAT